CCCGACCCGTGCCGCCTCCCCCTCTGTCCCGTCCGCTCCCGCAGACTGTGCCCGCCTCCCAGGTCACCACGCTGGCCAAGCCCCTGCCAAAGCAGGCGGTTGACAAGGGCACCGTCTGGGTCGGCTTCATCGGCGGCGCGGTGACCGTGTTTGGGCTGACCGTGCTGTCTGAGGGCAATGAGAAGTGGTTTCCGGCTATCTACCGCGCCAACAAGGCCATCAGCATGAGCCGCAAGCGCGCAGAGGCGAGTGGCGGCGATTTTGCTGAGCGGGCACGCGCTGCTGGAGGCCAGCGGGGCTTGGGAGGGCGCTTGGCGGGTGGATGACAGGCCCTGCTTGCCGCGCGATGCTTGAATGTGGCAGGGTAGTGCGCTTGTATTGTTGACTGTCACCAGTGAGCCTTCACGCGCCAGCTCGGTGACGCCGCGCGCCGGTCATGCCGCTGTCACAGGAGGCCGCGGCCGCCGCGGCGCGTGCGCCGCCGACGATCGACGTCGAGGCGGCCAACGCGGCGGAGGCGGCGGAGGAGCGGCGCCAGCAGGCCCTGGTGGAGGCCGGGCTGGCGGAGGCGCGCGCCAAGTACAGGCAGCAGCTGGCCGCAGAGGAGGCCGCGCGGCAGCAGCAGCAGCAGCAGCAGGAGCAGCTGCCGCCGCCGCCGTCGCCGCCGCAGCAGCAGCAGCAGCAGCAGCAGGAAGCGCAGGGGCAGCAGGAGGAGCAGCAGCAGGTGCAGCAGGAGCAGCAACAGCATGTGCAGCAGCAGGAGCAGGCCGCAGGGCAGGCGCTCGGCCCGAGCGTCGCGGCGGCACCCGCGCCCGCACCCGTGGAGGCTGCAGGGGCGGCCCAAGAGCGTGTGCAGCAGGAGCAACCGCAGGCTGACAGCGCGAAGGTCCATGGCCCCGCCGCGGCCGAGGCAGAGCCGGCGCTGAGCGGGTTGGCAGACGCGCAGGCAGCGCTGCGCAGCTACAAGGAGCAGCAGCAGGCGTCGGCCGGCAGGAGCTGAGGGTTCTTATGGAAGCTGAACGGCCCACGAGGGCGGTTCACACACGTGTGATGTTTGGTGTTGCAGGCTTCACTTCTCCTTTTGTTGCGTGCGGCTGCAAGACAATCATACAACTGCCCCATGTTTGCAGTGCCGTTGTAAGCTTTGAAGCTGCGTCGGCCGCGGCCCCCTCAGGGTCTTGGTTGTGAAGCCGGCCGATCACCCAAAAAAAGGGTCTAGCAGCAGTTACACAAGCGGACGAGCAGAGCAGGCACAAAAACTCAATGCCAGAGGAGGACCAGCCAAAAAAACTTGAAACCTTGCAAAATCGACGCGCTGCTGCGGCTGCTGTCAACGGGCACGCCAGCTGTCAACCCTGCCACCCAGCAGGCAGATCACAGCAGCTTGAAGGTGCTAATGATGTGCCGCAGGGTGCCCTCGCTGCGGCCAAACGCCTGCGTGGCGGCGGCGCGTCGCGTAAAGCAGGGGCGAACGGGTGGGTGAGAGCTTGGACGAGCACCTGGCATGGCAGCATGGTGCGGCCCCAACCACAACGCTAGACAGGAGGCATGTGGGGAAGGTCATACCCGCCACGCCACCTTGCTGTCCCGGCATAAGCACTGCAGTGTGCTGCTGTGCCGATGAGCCTATGAGGGGCGGCGCTTGGCGCTGCACTCAGCAGGGCCTCGGCCCCCTGCCCCTGCCCCTGGCCCTGGCCCACGCGCCCGCGCCCCCACGGCTTCTCC